TACATGCCAGGCTTTAATGCTTACATTGGTTATTATTCACCTGATAACGTGATGCTAAGGTGGATGCTTTAATCGCCTTTGAAATTTACATTTTTTTAACAGGTATAATAAATCACTCCTGGTGATCATGTGTACATGAAACCACAGGTGAAAATACAGGTTTATCTATCATTTGAACTAACCATGAACATATATATATACCTAATTCCAACAGATGGTTTTATCCTCTCTCAACGGACAGGTGATTGTATTGTTATTTTGTTTTGTCAACAGGGTAACAGTTGATTTATCTAGCTAGTATTACTGTAATTAGGGATCAACTGAGTGACATTAGAACAATACGATTGGGTAGACAGTCTGTTGAGCCTTTACCACTGACCTGACTGTACAGACCCTACTAATATATAAACAAAAGAGGATTAATCCCCTATTGTTTAGAGTATAAGTAGTGGACTCCTTGTTTGGGCGACTGCACCCTTGGGCATATATAGATATTCAAACTGCTGCTTGCCATAGAAAATCATAGTTCACAGGATGGTTGATATTACAAGAAAATCCCATATGAAAAAGAGGAAAATCTTCAAAAACCTAAGTCAAGATTATTTTTGGACACAGAAAAAAGGGTGTTGCCCGGGCACCCTTGGTCCGCCACTGAGCATAAAATATTTAAATCTCCAGAAAACATGGGAATCCTACAGAAAGCAACGTAACTTATTTGTAAAAATAAAACATGATTATTTCACAAATGTTGCAAGGGATATTGGTAAGCATCGTCGGATACCCACGGTTGATTTCGCCTCGCGATCGGTACCCACTCAATCACGAGCGAGTACCAAGCGAAATCAACTGTGGGTATCCGGCGATGATTGGTAAGGTACTTGAAGGAAAAGTTGACTTATCTAGCTAGTATTACTGTAATTAAGGATCAACTGAGTAAAGGTCCAGACCAGCCTTCTTTTACTTTTTCAAGTGCAAATGAACCTTTTATGACAAATATCATATCCAAATTAGATTGTAACAAAGCTACAGGAGTTGATGGTATCTCGGCTAAAATGTTAAAAGCTGGCGCTGAAGCCTTAAGTTTACCTTTCTCTAGAATGTATAATTTTTGTGTTTCAGAAAGTAAATTCCCAGACAAACTTAAACAGGCTCAAGTAATTCCAATCTTTAGAAAGAATGATCCTCTTTGCAATGAAAACTATCGTCCTGTTAGTACACTCCTACTGTGTCTAATTCAGATCTTCCAAAGGGTTTAACATGACCAATTTCAACTAGGTTCATTTTTAGAAAGTCCTTTAACCCTTTCCTGAAAGTTTTCAGATAGGGCTTTTTCTTGAGGACTGTCATCAGGCCTTGGACAACAACCAGTATATAGGTGCCATTCTTATGGATTTGTCCAAGGCTTTTGACTGCCTTCCTCATGGTCTGTTGCTGGAGAAGCTGCGAGCCTATGGGCTGGATGAGTCTGCATTGAGATTGATAAGCAGCTACCTCAGTGACAGACAGCAGCGGATCAGGCCTGGTCCTAGTGTCAGCGGCTGGGAGATGCTCAGGAAGGGCGTCAATTGTTGGACCTCAATTTGTTTACGAACAAATTCCAGAGTTATACCGCATCATTGGAAAAGCTAACGTGCCAGTAATGGAGTAGAAGTCTCGTCCCGAGATTTGGCCTGGGGAATTCTGCGGGTCCTCCCTGTGTACCAATGCAACCTTCGATCCCTAACCACTGGGAACTGGCCTTACACTATACCACAGGATCACTGCATACGTATACGCTGCCGCTAAATGTAACGTGCGGGCACACACCCATCTAGCACCTGATCACACTCCACGATGCTGACCAAGACTGGGAGAGCTAGCTTGCCAGAAGGTCTAAGGCAGTGTTTCCCCCTCATTTTCCATGGTTGTCACAGTACGTTGGGTGTTCATTCTGCCATACATGGTCCTATAGGGCATTCATTTGGCCATGCAGGTTTCTCCTGGTTTCTCATCCTGAGTCCACTGTAAACATAATCTCCATTGAGTATTTAATACATTGGGCTTTCTTATTACACCAGTGAAGGTCACATGCATAATTTATGTTTTATTCAATTATTGTTTATGTATTAGCTGACTAAGCACACTTTTAAGATGAAGAATATAGAAACTTACAGCATCTTTCTCAAAGCCAAAATTTTCAGTCACTGAAATTTACCTGAGGTTTAAACTGACAAGGTTTCATTTACATTTGTACATTTAAAGAAATCACCGAAATAGCAGACATGACAAAATCATTCAAAATGAATAACAAACACCAACTTCAAGTATTTATTTATTGAACAAACTTTCATATAAAAGAAAACATGTGATAAAGCAAAAATACACACCACAACATAATTATATTGTTAGTTGGATTTTATAGATATTTCATCGATGACAGTTCAATTGATAAGATTTAACAAAACAAGAAATTATACAGTACAACAGTAGAATCATTAAATCTGGTAACAGTTCACAACACTAGACTGTATTTAACAGTTAATATAACAGAGTTAGGTGCTAACACACACTAACAGGCTACAAAATCCTAAATTGTTCAATACTGGTTACTCAGAAATTCCCCAAGCTCTTGATCCCAAAAATCTTCATCCCCCTACTCATAATCCAAAAACTATTCAATTCCCTCTATCTTCAAACTCTTAATCTCCCAACTTAAAACCCCAAAACTGTTAAATTCCCTCTATCCTCCAACTCTTAATCTTCAAACTTAAAACCCCAAAACTGTTAAATTCCCAAAAATCTTCATCCTCAAACTCTTCATCTCCTATCTCATAAACCCAAAATGTCCTAATACTCAAACAGCAGATTTATTTACATGTAAAAAAGACAGGAAAATATTGCAGTCCTTCTCTTCCTTGATTGTAAAAATAATTTCCACATTGGAAAGGATATTTCAAATTCATGTATTTGTGCAAAAGAGAAACGTACATAAAAAACACCTTACCAATCATCAGCATAAATGATTGTACAAGTCCTTTACCCTCAATGTATGTGTTAATCATTACAACAGAGAATTCAGGTACAATAAGCAATGGAGACGGCCCCAATACGGACCCAAGAAAGTGGATCATGTTTAATGGGAAGGTTTTAGGAAATAAATTCTGTGTTAATAGTAGATTTTGGTTTCACATGTGCAAATTTGAAATGGAAATGATGGGAAAAAATATTCAAATTGTGGCAGATAAAAGGAAAAACTCAGGAAAAGTAGAAAACAGATGAATCCCCATTAATATATATTTTATAAGTACGTGTATATCTTTTAGAACAATACAATTGCTGTCAGCTATGTGAGTATTTATATGTTAAACACCTGATAATATTTAAAACTGAACATATTGATCTGAAATACATAACTTTCATCATTTTGTTCCCTCAGACTTTGGTTTGATTTTGAGTACTTTTACCATTCGTCTGGTTTGTTCTCTACATCCTATTAACAGCTTTGGTAATTTGGTCTTTGAGGATGATCCAGGTTCTGGTTGTGGAGGAAAATATGAGTACCCAGAGAAAAACCTATGTTCAGTACCTGGCAACTGCCCCACATAGGCCTCTAACAACTGGCCCACGTAGGCCTCTAACCTGTGACCCTGAACGGTGGAGGGCTATAGCAATCATAGGTGTCCGACACCTAAACCACCCAACCACTCAACACCTAAACCACTCAACCACTCAACACCTAAACCACTCGGCTACCACGACCCCCTTTTAGCACTTTTACCACTGGAAGATCTCCATTCCTTTTTTGAGTGATGATTATGGATAGTAATGTCTATGTCTTTGAGTGATGATTATGGATAGTAATGTCTATGTCTTTGAGAAAATGATAAAAAACTGAATGCTTTACATGCACATTTTGTTTCAGTACATTTTTGAATTTTGACAAATTTAAGGCCGAAACCTGCTATCATATCTCACCCTAAATAGCCATGCCTGATTTCTGGTTTGTTTAGAATATGAAAATTTTGTGCAAAGAAAATATTTTTTGAAAAAGCAATACAGCTTCAGCACGACTATTCAGTCATTTACTGTACATGTTTCCATTTGTAAAGTGAAACTTCGTCTGGATTAACGTCACTTCAGTATAAAAATTACACTTGTATGTGTATTAATTAAAACATTAAAATTCATGTCAGAGCATAAAGTTAATATGTCTGTCCTTAAGTGTATGACAGTAATATGTATAGTCAATGCATACAGCAGTAAGATTAGTATTTTGATGTGTACAGCATTAAGGCATGGCTAACTTACCATATAGTTGTATGTCGGTGAGTATGACAGTAAAATAAATGATAGTTAATGTAGGAGTCCAATTTACCTACCAATTCACAAAGCCCAAAATAAATGTCCATCCTGGTACAAGATCATGTAATTACATGTGTCGTACATTAGAACATGTTATACATGTGTTATACTAGAACATGTTCCACTGTACATGTGATCGTGAAATAAGTGTCAAATACTAGAACATTTAATGTGTTTAATACTAGAAAATGTAATGTGTGTCACATACTAGAACATGTAATATGTGTCTAATACTAGAACATGTAACAAGTGTCTAATACTAGAACATCTAATATATGTCTAATACTAGAACATGGAATATATGTCTAATACTAGAACACGTAATATATGTCTAATACTAGAACATGGAATATATGTCTAATACTAGAACATATAACGTATCTAATACTAGAACATGTAACAAGTGTCTAATACTCGAACATGTAATATATGTCTAATACTAGAACATGGAATATATGTCTAATACTAGAACATGTAAAAAGTGTCTAATACTAGAACATATAACGTATCTAATACTAGAACATGTAACATTTGTCTAATACTAGAACATGTAAAAAGTGTCTAATACTAGAACATCTAATATATGTCTAATACTAGAACATATAATATATGTTTAATAATAGAACATGTAATATATATCTAATACTAGAACATGTAACATTTGTCTAATACTAGAACATGTAACATGTTTAATACTAGAAAATGTAATGTGTGTCACATACTAGAACATGTAATATGTGTCTAATACTAGAACATATAATATATGTCTAATACTAGAACATATAATATATGTTTAATAATAGAACATGTAATATATATCTAATACTAGAACATGTAACATTTGTCTAATACTAGAACATGTAACATGTGTCTAATACTAGAACATGTAAAAAGTGTCTAATACTAGAACATCTAATATATGTCTAATACTAGAACATGGAATATATGTCTAATACTAGAACATGGAATATATGTCTAATACTAGAACATGGAATATATGTCTAATACTAGAACATGGAATATATGTCTAATACTAGAACACGTAATATATGTCTAATACTAGGAAATGTAACACGTGTCTAATACTAGAACATGTAACATGTGTCTAATACTAGAACAATTTAAGCTATATGTGTCTAATTTGTCAGAGAATCTAGGCAGGAATTTTCTATGAAAAATTGACAAATATCTAAACAATATATCAACCGTCATTCTATAATGAGATTAAGTTAAAATGTTGTCACTTCTACTCAAAATTACACAATTTTAATCGTGATAAAAAGGAACTCTAAAAGGTACAAAATGGTAAGCATGCAGCACAGGAACAATGTTACTATTTATTAGGTATACTGTTTTGTTGGAATCATTTCTTAAATGATCCTGCACCATCAATACATATCAAGGTTTAGTTCACTCTAGTCTTTAACATGGGACAAGGTCTCACGTTGACCTGTCACAACCTTGGGCTGAGGATGTCAGATCAACGCCAACTGATAAGGTCACTTCGGCCTTCGGACCATATTATCGGTTTCTTGATCGCCTGAACAGAGGTCTACCCGACACATGGGTACAATTCAGCATGATTACAAATATGAAATAAACAGCATGCAAAAATAATCCCTTCAATCATCTTGTCAGTATCTTCATTATGTTATATAAGGATTGGCTACATCTGACCATCTACTACAGCGTGCTGTCGTTCTAACGTACGTACTGTAGATGTGACAGAGAACAGCAGTAAAGGTTATCCTACAAATTTCATTGAGGAATCTTCAATCTGAAATGGATCTCTTTCAAAAATAATTAATCTATCATAAATATACTTGTTAAGGAATGATTCATACCTTACAGTTGAATTAAAACTTGAAAAATTAAATCAAATGTAACATCATCGTGTCCCAGATATTAACCTCCCTTCCTACTGTTCCCTGGAATTACAGGTAATGGGTTCCATAAGTTAGCAGTTTGTCTTCTTCCAGTTTTGAAATGGTTTCAAATTTGAATTTTGATGAGAATTCCATGGAAGTGGAGGTGTCACCTGTGTCAGCTTATATGTAGGTGGAAAGACCGGTTATTCCTTCAAGTTTAAAGTTTTACCCTCAGCCAACTTTCAGATCACAGCAGCCTAGCTCATATGTACACATTTTTCTATACATCAGACATGAGTGATGAGGAGCTTTGGAAGTACGCCTGGCAAGCTTCATGAAAATTCAATATTTTCTTCAAAAGATATTGTTTTGGATCATATCTGTACAAAATCCAAGATGGCTGCTGCCATCTCAAAATTTGTTTCCAACTCTAAATCAAACTTGAGCGTGGAATCGATACAACATGTATTTGTAGGAATCTTCATGAAAAGTAAAAGTATTTCTTAAAAATCATCACACAGAAACCACTTCAGGTGCTATAATACAAAATGACCTTACGTTGCCATACTGATCAAATTTTAGATCCATCTCAAAATCACACCTGAGTAGGCAACAGGTACATACTGAAGTATGTGTATGAAGTTTCATGGACAACAAAGCATTCCTGTAAGAATGATCACACAAAACCAGTTAATGAAGTACCAAAGTCCAAGATGGCAACTGGCAGCCATATTTAATTTCAGATTCAGGTTAAGATCAATCTTGGGTGGGTAAATGGTACTATCAGTATTTGAAGGAGTTTTCAGGAAAATCTAAGGATTCCTTTAAGAGTTATCGCACAGAAACCCTTTGTGCATGACACTGATGGAGTGATCCCTAAATGTCACCCTTACTTTAGCAGGCAACAAAACGAATCTGAGACAACAATGATCATATGATCCATACTACCATGGTTTTACTAAGTACATACCCGGTAGTCTGAGTGCAGATGTTCTGGAAAAATAGGTCAACTGAAGATGTATAAGGAACTCGGATAGTTATCAAACACAGACCAGAGCTGGACCAGTATTCATGGAACAGTTCTCATGCTCAAAGCTAGATTCTGTGACCAAGCTCAATTTATTGTGCCAGTGATAAATTAATTACCAAAAAAATCATTTGTTATGTAAGCAATTTTGAAATTCTTTAAGCTGAACACTGTTTTCAGTGTTTACACTTGACTTTTTGACCATGTTATATGGGAGTTACAAGAAAGTCAATTTGAGCACTGAATTCATCCTTGAGCATGGGCCTAGTTTTATAAATACGGGCCCTGTACTGTATACAGAAAATATCTATCCACTTCATAAGGCCGGAATCTCAACACAAACTTTTCCTCAATACAGATCTAATTATTATGTAGTGAAACATAAACATGGATTTTCCTCTGAAAAGTGTTGCTCCTCTTTTAATTCCACTGTAAAAAATGACATTGCTCCTTTCAGCACAAGTTTTGCTGTACAAGTTTTGAATGTCAGGGTTGAGACACGGTACCATAAAGTACCAGAATATGCAAGGTCCTGGGATGGTCCTGATCCCACAGCAAGCTGGATTCAGAACAAGTCAGGCCCTAAGACCAATGGTCCCATAATGACCTAGGCACCAGGACACAAAACATCAGCTTGGAATCTTTGGCATATTGCCAAAAGTTGACACAGGACTGCACGAGGGTGGTGTTTATACTGTAACTCATCAGCTGTGGATACAACCATTAGGTATAAAGTCTACCAGGATCTCCAAGTGTAAACTTGATGAAGACTTCGAATATGACCTTGTGGTTAGATATCACAACTTGGACACGTGACCTTCAGGAGAACACACCATGGAATGGTAAGGCTTGTCCCCGGTGACTCCATCTCTCCTTCATCGTTTTGAATGATGTTGGCATTTTGTCAAAGTCATAAAATCCAAGGTTGTCTAACAGTTTATATATTCCTGCTGAGGCAGCAACCTAAAAATAAACAGTAAAACGTTGATGAAGTTGTAAACTAAGCATCAGATCTAGGACATTATCTACAATATTGAATCATAGCATCAGATCTAGGACATTATCTACAATATTGAATCATAGCATCAGATCTAGGACATTATCTATAATATTGAATCATAGCATCAGATCTAGGACATTATCTACAATACTGAATCATAGCATCAGATCTAGGACATTATTTACAATATTGAATCATAGCATTACATCTAAGACATTATCTGCAATACATTATTTTTTATTAACAAAAACAAACTACTAAGTGAAGATATAAACAACTGGAGGAGTTTTTCTTTCAGAATCTAGCAAAATTCATATGACACTCTCATTGAGGAGATGTTTTTGGCATCTTGAAGAATCCTGTATGTTTTGAAATTCCTTTTCCATTCAATAACCTTATAATGAAGAATATCTGTGTATTTTTCAACAGTTTAAAAGTTTACACCTTGAAAGGTTAAAAAGCAACCTTACTTCTTTCATCCATTTACTGAAAGGTCGCTGCCATTGGTTTTTCTTATCGTAGTGTAAATACGCGTTGAAGAGGATGAGGTATATGTATCTCTCTAGGTAGTCCAGACTTAGGCGCTTCAGGTTCTGTCTGCTCGCCTCACTCTTAGCATTCTTTATCTGTAACATGTAATCCCACACAAGGTCAGCGAAGGTCAAATGTTTGATGTTACAAGGCCAAAATAAAGAATCATCTCATGAACAGGGCCACTTCAACTGAGTGTTATTCTTTATCTCTGTAGATGCTATTTCAAATTAAATTATGTCAATATTATCGAAGATTACCCTTACTTTGATAACAACATGGTATCTCACCTGTCTCTACCCTTAACCTGTGACCAAAGTGATATATGATATCCTTACCTTATTGTAAAGGACAAATGTGTTTTCCCTCAAGTGGAATAATGTTGTGGACATGGTTTCAAATATTTCGTCCAGTATGAAATCCACCTCCCTCTTGATCTGATGACCATTGGGCAGCATGCGAATTAGTTTCTGGACAATCTGCAAAAGATGGCAATTGTCATTTATTTTGGCCTAATTTGTTTACCTTTGACTCCTGGGTCTACATTGGGAACTAATTCAAAATAATATACATGTACCATATTCTTGACAATATGTTGCAGACGGTTCTTGTTACATACGGTAATAAGATCTTTATTTGTCCTATATTAGTTTGATCTTTTCCCTTCATTCCTTTGATCTATTGGAATAAGTCATATCAACAGCCATACAATAGTGTAGCGTGCATTTAGCGTGAACTTTTAATCAAACCTTCATACCTTTATGTTTAACACCCTCCTTTCTAAGTGATGTTGTCTGACCTATATCAACTAGCACTATACGAAGAAATTCAAGATGGCTGCCTGGTGGCCATTTTATTTTTCTGATCAGTCTCATAATTTAAAAATCACAATACAGACCAAGGGCAAATTACAAATGAAATCTGAGAAAAATCCATACAGTACTTCCTGAGAAATAGTGATAACAAACATTCAGGTTGCTAACTTACAATGAAGTCTCCTTTTGTGTATTGTGCATTTGGACAGGAGACCCTTTCTTGCTCCCCAAGGTTAGCTCCCTTTGGAAATCCCTGAAAACAAAATTGCCTTTTCATAATTCATTCTAAGAAAACTTTCATTTTAATTTCTAATTTGAAAATTATAATAACTAGAAAAAGAACCAGATCAGTTCATTTTTAAAACAAGTGTAAATAAATTCTACGCATTTCATTATGCAGAAAATAATTAAAGATATTTATATAAAAAAAAAAGACAGTGGTAACCTTACCCTTTTGGGACCTTCGGAGGAGGAAAGTGGTAACCTCACCCTGTTGTGACCTTCAGAGGAGGACAGTGGTAACATTACCCTGTTGTGACCTTCAGAGGAGGACAGTGGTAACCTTACCCGGTTGTGACCTTCAGAGGAGGACAGTGGTAACCTTACCCTGATGTGACCTTCAGAGGAGGACAGTGGTGACCTTACCCTGTTGTGACCTTCAGAGGGGGACAGTGGTGACCTTACCCTGTTGTGACCTACAGAGGAGGACAGTGGTAACCTTACCCTGTTGTGACCTTCAAAGGAGGACAGTGGTAACCTTACCTTGCTGTGACCTTCAGAGGGGGACAGTGGTAACCTTACCCTGTTGTGACCTACAGAGGAGGACAGTGGTAACCTTACCCTGTTGTGACCTTCAAAGGAGGACAGTGGTAACCTTACTCTGATGTGACCTTCAGAGGAGAAAGGAAGTAACCTTACCCTGATGTGACCTTCAGAGGAGAAATGAAGTAACCATACCCTGATGTGACCTTCAGAGGAGAAATGAAGTAACCTTACCCTGATGTGACCTTCAGAGGAGAAATGAAGTAACCTTACCCTGATGTGACCTTCAGAGGAGAAATGAAGTAACCTTACCCTGATGTGAC